AATTATCTAAGGAAATTTCAATTTCCAGTCTTCATACTACTACTACTACTACTACTATCAGAGTATTTTCTGGAGTGAAGTGGGCAGCGTGTTCCTGAGATGAGTTCAAGTCAGGCTGGCAGGAGACCCCCTAACGTGGAATTTGCTCCTGCTGGAACTTGATTTTGCTGGGATTTATAATGAGATATGATGCGAGATGTGTCTCCTTGGTCAAGTATATACTTAATTACAGATCATCGCTGGGTTATTTAGAGTTCAAATTATACTGGAAAGGGGCTGTTTATATTGTTTATCATGAGCAGCAGATTTACTATCTGTCTGTATTTAAACTATAAAATGTGTCTAAATACCAAGGTGACAGACACACAACCTATCATTACATAAATATAATGAGTTAATTCAAATTAAAGGTTCAGCAGATCTTGTAACACACTAGATATGGATTTGTTTATAAAGGTTTGACAAAAGTGCCATATGATGGTTCATTACCACTTTAATTAATGAAAAATAGATCCAGTAATATGCAACTGCCGCTGCTATCACTTAATGCTCTGAAACGAGGTTTGCCAGCCATGAAGTTCAAGAGCCTGATTACAGATAATGGACTTAAGCTTCCTGTTGGAAATTTGTTCATTCTGCAGCCTCAACAGAATTTGAACTTGTGACATTTCCATCATGCTGTAGCTTGACTAGAGGTAAAATAGAAGCAGCTGTGGGGAAACTGCTAATGGACTAACTGAAATACATGAAATCTTTCACTGGGCTGGACCACCAGGAAGTCTAGTTGCCCTGGAGAAATGTTATATTACTAGAAGTGGGCTCAAATTTAAGGTGAAAAAATTCTGAAATAGGAGTTTCAGACGCCAAATTTAAATCTAGAAGTCATATAAAGTTTAGGCACTAAAATTCACTGCTTCCAGCGTTCGAAGGGAAGTGTGCTTGTGTGCTCTTCACTTGCCCTTGCGGGGCTTCCTCACATAGGAGTCCCAAAGTCTCCTACAGAGTCAGTGGAAAGAAAGAAGCTCCTCTGAAAGCCTAGCAGACTTCAGACATGCAGGTGAGACTGGCAGGATCTTACTGTTCTGATCCTCAGCTTGTTAGTTATTATCCCTCATTATTTTTATAATGTGCCACTGCACAGGAGAAATCTCACAGACTGAGATTTCATTGTGATGGTAAAACCTCTTATACGCACAGGACAGTGGCCAGAAGTTTAATTTTGTCAGGTCACATGCAACCATCTAGGAGGCCCATTGCCAGAGAAAGGACAACGGACTCTTCATTTATTTCAGTGTCCCTGATGGCTTTACAGGGAGGGGATGCCATACTTTCTTCCCAATCAGCAGACCTCCTTTTTTATTTCGGGGATCTTCAGGGAGCATGGTTCCTCCTAAGGCACAGGTAGACACAGAGTTCTTCCCTGGCATCGGCATTCCTGGCCCCGGGAGGCAGCAGTTAGGAGATGCGGTGCCTGGATTGCTACTCTTCTGCATAGCATAACACAGCAACATTGCTCTGCAGTGCTAACAGCCAAGCTTCAGACTGATATGGCCAGGAAATTTAGGATTTGCAGAAGTAAGTACATCTTTAAGTACATTAAGTGCCTGGGAGGGTACGTTGGTATGCCCTTTACATTACGTACACAAGCTCATATACAATCAGAGAATATAAGGGATGGCAGGTAACTCCTGACAAGGAACAAAATACAAATCAAGGTTTAATACTACACTACTATTCCCATTTTCACAGAAATAAACAAAGGTACAAAACTGTTAAATAATTTGATAGATATCATTACTAACCTGGTAGCACACAGCGATGCTTGACGAACTAATTTGTCAGGGTAGTGACATTGTAGGCACACTAACGTAAGCACAGAGCTTTGGCCCTGAATAAAATTTTTCTGGTTGTTAGGTTATTAATGGAAAAAAATAAAGGCTGTCTGAATGTGACCCTTGAGGCAATCCTCAAATTTATTATTTCTAGCTCTTAGGCCATTCCCCTATGTGATTTGTGTCTGATCACAAAAATAATCAGAGAACAGATCTGCTGGAGATAAATAGCAAATTTAATTAATAGTAAACAGACTAAGTCTTCTAAAATATTGCTGTTCCACTGTAACAATAAGTAGAAGGAATAACTGAATGGATGAGTAAATAAATAATTAAACAAACACATGAAAAGTAATAGGCTGAAACTGGCCATGTGCTTTTAAGGAGACCTTAGCACTGAGTTCACTGAGTTCCCCCTGAAGCCATCCTTTCTCCAGGCTGAACAAGCCCAGGTCCCTCAGCCTCTCCTCACAGGGCAAATGCTCCAGCATTGATCATCTTGGTGGCCTCCACTGAATTCACTCCAGTTTATTGACGTCTTTCATGTATGGTGTTGGAGGGGGCAAATGGGGTGCAGTATCTTAGATGTGGTCTAATGAGTGCTGAGTAAAGGGAGATAATAATGTGTCTTCATCTACTGGTGCTCTAGCTAATACAGCCTGTTGGCCTTTGCTGCTAGGGCACACTTTGCTATGACCGCAAAGCCAAAGTGTCAGGCAAGTAGTTACTTTATGTAGCAAGAGCTGCAAGATGACTTGCTAAAGGTCGTTCCTCAAAAGATCAAATCTGGAGAGATGCTGAACATCAGAAACTCCCTTCAGGGATGCCAAAGTCCAGAAATGGACAAAAATCAGTCAGCGGAAGAAGAGAGACACAGAATAATTAATGGCAAGAAATTCAAGCTACTGGCTTAGTTTCCAGAAGCTGTGCTAGTAGCTGTACAGTGTTTTGCAGAACAAAGTTCCCTTTTCATCCAGTGAACCAGCACAGGAAGAAATCCACAAGCAAAAGACTGTTGGCTACTAATTATTTCTGCTAGCAAGTGCTAGCAAGGGCGACAGAGAAGATGCTTTTAAGGCTAGAGATTGCCTACATGAACATAGGTGCAACAAGAAAAGCAAGTGAACTCCAGAGAAAGGAGGAAAACTCACAATCAAATGAAGTAAACCCCAACACTCACTGAGGCCCGTGCCAGGAGACCTGCCTGAACTATTTCAGAAACAGTAGGAGGGTAGCTATGAGCTGTTTAAAGGAAAGGGGGAAAATCCACGTCAGTCAACCCATGATAACATGCAGAGTTTTGAACAAGGAAGAATCCCTCCATTCACTTTTGCTGGGAATTAACACCTCAGACGGAAGTTAATCACTGGCAGAAAACTCACCAGTTGAATGGAAACAGGAAAGGGAGGAGAAACGAAAGCTGAATCGAACAAACTGCTAGTGTCCCCACACAACAGCATTTGGGAGAGCAGCAAACCACTCTGGGATGTCAAATGCTTCTACTAAGTTCAAATTCTTTTAAGATGTATATGTTTCTAGTAAGTTCTAAATGGCTGAGGTAGGTTAATTTTACTAAATTAAGTCTGGTGCTTTCTTATGATTGTGTGCTGACAAAACCCGGCTACTGAAAAGTTTCAGGTGCACCACAAAATCTTGGAATAATGGTAAGTCTGGTTAAGGAGAGAGCCGGGTTGATGCCAGGGAGAGTGAATGTCTGAATTCCTAGCTTTCCCTTGACAGGTGGCTGGTAAAGGCTGGGAAGATTTTTGAATTTTCTTTCCACTTTCCTTTTGGCCAGACGTGGGAACCTCGGGGCAAGTGTGTGAGCTGGCGCTGGACGGGGTGGGGTAAGGTACCTACCCACCTCCCCTGCTGCCTGAACAAAACAACGGCCAATCCCGATATGTCCTTCTCTCCCACAGTGTCATACAATAGTGTAGATGGGTTGATTCTTTCTGAGGGGGAGTCAGTCTGCGATGCCTTTCCACCTACCCATGCACTTCTTGCTAAAGCCCCTTTCTCCATTGCAGGAATTCCTCAGTGGGAGAAGGTGTGGATTTACCAGGGAATGAGGCAGAAGGCAAAAGCTTGCTTTACACATTAGCCCTAACCAGTGCACCGGGCTGCTGTGCCACGTGAAAATGCATAACTCCTTTTTAGACCAGGATTGCATTCATCTACATGACAATATTATTATTCACTGTTTGCACTGAGACCTGTGTGTGTAACTGCTGTAAGCATGTGACTCTGTGTTATAGCTGCTGTATAGATGCATGGGAGAATGTGTTTCCTGCCTCAATCGGTCTATAAGTTAATTTAAGATACAAGCAGATGAAATTAAAGGCTGGAGAGAGGAAGGAGGTTGAGAAAGACGTTGGGACATTGATATCCTGAAGTTCCACAGATGTCCTGTAAAAAGCCTTTGCTCCAAACCATTAGAAAAATAAGAAATTATCAGATTAATTTGGTTAGCCGTGCTTGATTTCAGCCTTTATTGGGAAACTGTTTTCCTGCAGGTTCTTTTTAAAAATAGGGTTTTGACTGGTTGTGGGCCTATTCACCATTCTCAGAGAGAATTTCTAGATCAAAGAAGGGGAGGAAGAGTCTCTTGAAATAGTTGTAGAAGTATGCTATATCCTATGCCAGAGTCACTGGCAGAGCAGATACCTGGACTGTCATGCAGAGAGCAGCAACGCAGGAAGCAGCAATGTTGACAGAAGACATTTCTAGGTAGGTTTTCAAACTTATTGCAGTGTACACATGTCTGATCACAGAGGTTAAATAAGGCGAATACCGTATGTTCATGGTATGTATGCATGTTTACATAAGATATCTAATATTCATGCCCATTAAATGCATACAGCTCCCATGATTTTCAAGGAGATTAGCTCTCAGTCCCTCATTCTTTCAATATACATGCCAGCTGAATGACATGCATAGGAAGATGTCTTTGGAGGAACGTTAAGAAACATGGGTTGACTGGTATTTAGGGACTTCGTGATTTTATATCTAGAAAAGCCTTGGGCAGATGACAGGTGACACACAGCTATTCTGGATTTACATCTGGTTACTGTAAACAGAGTCTGATTCCATTAGTTTTCATTCAGAAGCAAAACAGAAGGGGGGGGGTATTTTTATCTTAAAATAAACTAGAGCTGGGACACTCACCTATTACACAGAATGGTTTCCTTGCAAAGCGCAGTCTTCCTTGCCATCCTCGGTATCGACAACAGCATCCAGCGGACCAGATACGAATAATAAATTCCAAACCAAAGACAACAATCATGACAAATTCCTAGAAATGGAAAATAAGAAAAATGCCTGTTACAGATAACCAACACTGAAGCATCAGGAAACTTATGACCACTGTGTGTGTCTACCAGTATACCTTGAGCTCCTGAAGATCCCAAGCCAAACTTGGGACCCTGTTCCCCAAGATGGTTGCACATCTACACACAAAACACAGTCCCTAGAGCTTCCCAGTGAAGGGTCCAAATCTAACCTGAATAACATTAAATATCTGCTAAGATTGGCTACTAACTATGAAACACTGAAGGACTGAATCACACTCAAAAAATACCAAAGCAAAATAGACAGTGACTTTGGATATTGTGGATCAGACCACAGGTAATTTAGACAGCTAGTGAGGAATATATGTTATACATCCACATCCATAAAATTAGTTCTTAGTTTGCAGGTGGAATGTTTTGGTAGATATATTCTCATTGTAGCAATATACAGGTGAAGTGATTAAGATGATGCAGAAGCATTTAGGAAATCAATTTGTTCCTAGAAGTAGGTTAAGATACATGCAAGTGTAATTACATACAATGGGTATGCAATTGTTTGTAAGACAGTAAATGAATGGCCATACTAGGTATAACTTTCCCTGGACAACTTGTGAATGAAAGCATTTAAAAATCTCGCCTTGTTTGTCTGGCTTGCTTTTCTTTCACATTGGAACCTTCTTTAACATTGTCCATTTCAATAGCGTCAACTTTTATTTATGCAACTTGTATTTTTCACTACAACAGTGAGGTCAGCAGAGTTGCAGCAATAGAGCTTGGAGCACAATTCAGCTCCATACCTTAAGGAAATCTGAATGCCTGTAATATGCAGTGATATAGTACATACGCACTGGTATGAAATTATAAACTTAATTTAGATTCTCTTCTGGAATGCCACCTTAAAGTTATGGGTTTTGAAATGATAAAATAAAAATCTGTGTGTTAACCAAAAGAAGGAGAAAAGTACTTGAAGGAACTTCTTAAGCAGTTCATCAAGAAGAAGAGGATGAAAGTTGTATTTTATTTGGCAGCTGAACGTATTTCCATGTCCAGGAGAAAGCTGTTCCTTGTCAGCCAATTAATTTGTTTTCTTCTACAGGATGAGGTCTAGTGTGGTACTGGTAAGAAAACACTGCAAATGAATTAGAGGAATATTTGCAAGGGTAGGGTTGATCCAATATTGACTTTTTCCCAATAAACAGTTTGCATGTTTTTAGACTGTGAGACCCTACAACTCTGGAAGCCAATAAGGCTGTAAATACCACGTATGTCAACTCGGGCATTAATTTACCTGAACAAATGGCATTATTAATATTTGTCATGTAATGATGCTTTACTAGCTTATGATCACTGACAGTACATTGAAACATTGTGAATTTAATTTGCTTTTGCTGTCATAGAACAATTTGAAAACATAGTATTCCTTCCTAAAACATGTCAGCTTGTATAACTACATCACATTGAAAGAGGTTTTAGAACCTTCTTCAGTGTCTTCGTTTCCAGTTTTGTAAATCCTGTATTGAATGCCTAAATCACAAAAGCAGAATGAGATCCCTTCACTAAAACATAGCTAAAGAAAATGTCATATTTTTTGTTAGAAAAGAACACATGGAAAAATGAGTGTGACTGTTTAAGGTTTTCCTAATATTCATTCTACTACAAGAAACTTCAGCTTGATTCCAGGACAGAGTTATTGCACAACTTTAGAAAGGATTATGTGCAAAATGGAAAAAGTTCTTCATATAGTAACAATAATTCTTAATAGTTGGCTACTATGTGGTACATTTCCTTGTAGGAAATTCTGTGTAGGCCAAGAATAAAATAGACAAGAAGCCAACTGGAAAAAAGGAAGATTATGTATTTTAGTTTTTTAACTATCGCTTTTATAGTGGTAGGTAAATCATGAATTTTTAAATCTGGGTTAAATCATGATTGTCAAATCTGGTTTACACATTGTTAGATGATGTCTCTGAATTTATGGAGGTTGATGGCAGGCGTCCAGGCCATTTGACATCTGATTCTCCTGATGAAGTTTCTTCTTTGGGGCAGGAGTAAGAGATACTGAAGGAGAGGAGGCCAGCGAAGGATGAAACATCCTTTGCTTCCAATAAAATCTTTTCTTTGTTAAAATCTAATCACATTCCATTTGACTAAAGTTTGTTGTTTCCCTGGAGAACAGACTGTGTGTACAGATGCATGAGAAACACCTCCTGCTTTGTAAGTACGCTGAAATTGTCACAGGCATCTTACAGGAGCTGATCCACACACGCCCGAGCATGTCCTCTATCATACTCTAGACGCCAGTAGGACCTCCGATGGAGAACTGGCAAGAACAGAAAGTACTTGATGATTCCGGAATGACTGGTCTACAGCTTCAATACAGTTAAATTAGTATCACAAAACTGATGGTAGAAGTTGAAAAGAGGTGATTTTTTTTGATAGTTTACTATTCTGGTTCCTATTAGCGCTATGCAGTTTTGTATTCATCATCTGCACTACCATTAGCAATTACTATTTGCTATGCTTGCTCAGTTATACCAAGATGGAAGAAGTCATTGTGAGCTGAAAGCACGTGTTTGAGAGTCTCTTGTACTACATGGTGTCCTCGTGTGTCAGAGGCAGAAATCCTATTTGTCTCTCACACACAAACGCATACACATGTACTACAAAGAGAAACTTCATGGAGATATATCTATTCTGAGAGAGAAAAAGAGCAAAAGGATGTTTTCTCAAATTTTGGGGTTTTTTTTGAGGGTGGGGTAAGAGTATAAGATTTTTCTTGGAGAAACAATGTGAAATATTTTTGTTCATTCTTGAGAAAAATAGTTACCATTTCTTGCAACATTATGAATTTATGCCTGGTGATATTCTCTCAAAATTTACTGAAGTTTCTGCTACTTAAGTAAATTTTAACAACAGCCACTGTAGTTATAGTAAGTGAGCTCAAATACAGTAAATACGGCTCTGTGCACTGGAATGCTAAAAGAACTGCTGATTTTAAAAATACTGTATATGATTTTCTTCCACACATACCAAATTTCTGGAGGTTTTAAAATACAGTATAAGCTTTAATAACAGAAAAGCCATTGAACAAAGTGGAGATGGGGTTTCACACTTATTTTTGCACTTTCTGAAGTAGTAATGTTTCAAAATGATCCTTATATCCTGGTCACTCCTACTTCCTCAAAGAACAACTGATTTTGAAGGGAACACATATCATCATGAATAAAGTCTAAAGGAAAAGGATTTTCCTAGAAAATGTGAATGCATTGAAACAGAAGCTCTTCATAGTAGTTTATGTGACAGTTTTGTTGTATTTTAGATTGGTCTCGGCTGAAACCAGAAAGAAACAAAGAATCCCACACCACTGTGAAAAAAGTAATGTTTTAGTAATCAGTGCACTCAGTCACAATGTAAAGTCAAATCTCTGTCAAGGTTAATGCAGGCCAGGGAATGACATTATTTTTTCCTATGGCAGCTGCACAGTCACAAGGTTCTTGGTTTTCCACGGACAAAAATTGGAAGGATGCATCCCAGACAAGATGAGTTGTTTTTTTTTTTTTTTAATTTCATTTGGAATGGCTTATTGCAAAATTAAGCATAAATCTAGGCTTTTAAATAATTTGGTTTTAGTTCCTTAGCAATTGAAACAGAAAATCAGAACATAATCGGAAAGGCATGTGACGGAATAAATCATTACACCTCATATTGTTTGTAGGCTTGCTGTAGAAATGATGCATTCCAAGTATCTCTGTCCTACGTATAATATGATGGAACCTCATTAATTTTGGATTACTTATTGATATTAATAACAACATTTACATCAGAATGGGAAAATCCTGCACTGTTGATAAATCTCTCCTCCTTCAAAATTCAGCAAGGCTGTATTTGAACTGATGAGCAAGTTTAGATTTACTGGAAACCTAACCCTTCCCTTCCTAGGTAGAGCAGGGATGCCCTGGCCTTTGCCATTTCTTCCTTTTCCCCTATCTTGTCGACCTTTTCCAATCACAGCTGCATCTGGCCTTGCACCACAGTTACCACGATCTGTAACTTTTTTTGATATTTAAGCTCACAGTTAGCCCCCCACAGTAACTGCTATGGAAGGTGCATTGGTGCTTCAGACAGTGGAAAGTCTTTCTTCCTTCTCAAAGCACAGTTCATCCAGACTGATGTCGTTCTGAAATGTTTCTGCATACGCAGCTCCAGTTGTCACAGGGAACTATGCATATGCAGGAAAAGCAAGGCTAAAACACATGGGCTTAAAAGATTCAGTTGTTTTTGGCATAAGGAGCACAGGTGCTCCTGAAGTTTTTTACATCTGCATGGGCCTTGGTTGCTCTGCCACTGGAACAACGGGAGTGACACAACTGGCAGGAAAGGAAAATAAGAGGTCATCCAGAGCAAGGTTTCTATTAACAGACAGTTCTGGAGGACTCTAATGAACAGGGTTGATAATTAATTAAATCAAGCATACTTTGTACAGTCCAGCTACGATGAGCACGGTTTTTTTCTTTTTTTCCCCCTATCTAATTAGGATACAAGTGATGATTTGCTGAAATTGTCTGCATTAATATGCTTCTCAGGTAGTTTTTAATGATAAGGATTTCCCTAAGCATAACATCTTTATAACAGCAAAAAACTTTTTATCACAGCTTTCTTGTTCATTAACACAACTGCTTATTAAAACTTAAAATAATTTGCTGCTGCTGAAATCAGGTGCCTTGGTTGTAGACCGTCGTTTCTGGGAATTAGAACCATTTTTGAGATGAGAAAATGACCAAAGTTGAGCAGTCTGTGCTGTTATTCTAGGATGCTCCTGGTTATTTTGCAATGTGTAAATGAGCTGAGGTTTGGATATAAGAAATCCGCCCACAAGACAATGGCTCTACTGTTATTGTAATTATATTTCTTGTATGGAAATTGTGTTGTTAAGTATTCTAAAAGCTAGTGAAGAAGGACAGCAGAGCTGCAGATTGATGTAAGGAGCTGCCTGCCTTGAGCTCAT